CAATTGCAACCGACCAATTAATTTTGTTATAACTCATTGATGCGTTTTATCGCTCTAACAACGAAAGCTCGACAAAAATTCATCGGAGTAGCAGGACCATGTGGCAAGGACATTTTCGCACATCCAACGTTATAACCTTCATAACAATCTTTATTTCGTTGTCGATTAGGCCAGCTCACAAAGGCTTAGAAACTAACTTTTCCTTAAGAACAAAAAATAGAGCTATTAATTGTCCATCATTTCACAATATTATTAATCAGGATATGGGAAAACAACAATTTAAGGCAGAATATGGAGCTACAACTAATCTAGGTGCCTAAGGTTATCATCATTTAGCATTATAAGTGCATTGGCAAACTAATGAGAAAACGAGACGCTAGGACCATGTATAAAAAGAGACTTATAACTTCCTTGGTCATGTTTACAGAGCATCTTTCCAAATTATGTTGTTATAAGTTGTATTGCTCAGTTGCTGGCGTCTTGTGAAGGGGACCTATTGGAACATGCATAAAAGGTTATCTGAAAATCCTCAATGCATAACTAACTAAACACATGGTCAAAAGAGAACACCAGTCTGGGTGGTATAAGGACATTTGGTGGGATATTGAAACCTCACATAGTAAAGTGAACTTAATAACATTTGAAATTCTCAAGAGGAAGAAGTGTAGAAAATGAAACATGTATTGTGTTTGCGGAGTATATATAAGTAAAAAGATATAGAGTCGGATGAACTACCGAGTAAAAAGTAGGTGGCATGATTAACCTGGAGTCTCGTTCTAGGCTCATACATCTCAATGATTCATGCATGCAAGGGCAATAAAACAACTAAACACACGTTAATAGTAGAACCAAACTTTAGCTCAACTATGTAAGGAAATAGGCCTAAATACACTTTCGAATCGTCTTCATGCATCAAATTCACTCTTCTGCAATCATATTGGGCAAATATGAAACAGTCAACCAAATTATGTGACAACAAAGTTAGGTTTAAGAAGAGAGTAAACTTTCGGTTGATCACATTTGTTGATAGTATTTGATGAATTTCCGTAAAGTCAGGCTTCTGACTCTGATTTTGCCTGTCTTGCTGGGAAAGACGAAAACTGAGTAAGGATTTATTATGGTAAGATGACGATGAGTCAAGGATATATTCGAACAAACCAAAGGTCAAACTACCAAGGCAATCTTGTTTCGGCTTCGGGTGAGGTCAAGTTACGGATCACTACCATCAGCTTTGATCAAATAAAATAAAGGATACATTCGAATGAATCTAGAAGTCTTCAAAATCCATGGTCTATCCATAAATAAGCAAACATAGGTAAGTAGCATCAATACTCGATAACCGTAGCCTCTTATCAAGCCGCCATATGGTGGTGAAAAGTATCGTCTTAAAACTAATTGTAGCTTGAATCCTGTACTTGGTCAGGAGATTAAGAACTCTATTGTCCAAGCGACGGCAGACTTAGAGGCAAATACAGCAGAGCACGGATATACATCGTAAGGGAAACCAGTCGAGTGATTTCTTAAAATACTATTTTTAAAAACGACGAAAACAAATTGTTTAAATTAAAGGATAGTAGACAGACTTAAGTGCTCAAATAAATTCATATAAAGCGTATTTGATCATAAAAGCTACTCTAGAGAGAAATGATCCAAACAATAAAGCATAACTTAAATGCCAGTACAGACTTAGCTTGTCTCACAAATGAGATAAAAATAACATTCATGAGATAATAGCCAATTCTTCAATTGAATAATTGCTAATTAGATAGTGGAATAAATAAAAGCCGAGGCAATTGGTAGACTCAGTGACAAGAGTAGCTTATACCTCAGTCACTGAGTACAAAGATTATCATACAGTATAGTGTGTTTTCAAAAAATAGTGCAAATTGGTGATAAATTAAAGGACTCACGGCTTTGTGAAGCCGTACTTTGAAAGTGATATGGGCATCGTGAAGGATAGAGCAAGCTAGATGGTTCTATAAAAAGATAAAAAAGAAAAATAAAGTATAAGCATGTAAAAAGAATACACACTCAGAAGGCTAAGGCATAATAGCGATATCTGCAGGCTATGTAGGGAAATCTGCTGAAGCCCCAAGTCTAGTTAAATATTTAAGAACCAAATTCCCGAGTTTGGATATTATGATTTTCTAATAACACCGCAAATTAAGTGAAAAACTGCTAAATGCAAGCCGGAGGATGAGGAGGTGGGAAGATAGTAAAAAAAGCAAAAGTAAGCTTCCAAGACTACCAATAAAGCAATTAAATGAGATGTATTAATCCCAGTTCGTTTTAAGGTGATGAAGAACTGGAAGATGAATTTTCTCACAAGCATAAGATTAGACATTCACATTGAATTTGGCAAAGCCTTGCTTTCAGAAAGGTTGTTCTCAACTATGCCGGACTTTAGTTTTGACCTCGCGCTGGTTTTATCAATACCCTCAGCGGTAATTAACCAAGACACATTAGCGTGTAATCTGCCGAGATTATACGCTATTGTGTTATGGTTTGAGTATCGCTGAGGGTGCTGATAAGAACAGTGCGAGGTCAACCATGGATGAGAATACCTTTTAGGATAGAGAGATAAAGCAAAATAAACAAGGTCAAAAATAACTGATATATTAATTATCTAGTGAATAAAATAGCAAGAAATTATAGCACAATAATTCACCTCAGTGATCGCCAAAAGGATGTAAAGGCAGAGCTGACAGATGTGAACAGAATCAGGAGCTGCAAAAGACAAACAAACAATTTGTATTAAGTATTGTTTTCAGACTCTTCATCACCTTAAACGAAATTGGGTGAATACATCTCAAACTATTTGTAGATAGATGGAGACCTCGAGTACAATTGAATAAGTCGTAATTTGAATCTAAATGCCCCAAAGCTGTATGCGGAAGGCGTTTATCAGACTTTCAATGGCGAAAGTCTTCAGCAAATGCATTACCTACAGCATCGCCGTATAAGCCATTCCATAATAAATTTTACTTCTTAAATAATTCTATATACAATATATTAACATTAAAATGTAAAGGGTTACATGGGTAATAAAGCCCATTTGAGTTTCAAGCATGATTTTGATAAAGATTATGTATTATTGTGTTTACTTCCATTTCGAGTGGAAGTGTTGGGTAAAGAGATTCGAAGGTCGATTCCTCCAGAAGATGATGGCGGATTCCTCCTGACCAACTGTCGATTGGCTTTACTGGAATATTTATGCTGACGCTGTTTCTGAAGTAATCTCCTTCGATTCCAGTGAAAAGGTACTAAGCTTTCGTCCGTCATATGACGAACATCATCGGAGCAAGATCTCGTCGTCACAACGGAATTCAAGATAACAAATAAAGAAAACTCCTTGATTGACTCGGTAGCTTGAATTTGATTGTGACCATTATACCCTCCTTGCTTTGATGATGTTCCTCATATGACGGACGAAAGCATAGCACCTTTTCACTGGAATCGAAGGAGATTACCCCGGAAACAGCATCAGCATGAACGTTCCAGTAAAGCCAATCGACAGCTGGTCAAAAGGAATCTGCCGTCTTCTGGTGAAATCGACCTTCGAATCTCTTCACCAAACAATTTCATCGAAATGGAAGTAAGCACAAAAAATATGAAACAAAAGATTCCTCGAAACCCAATTCTTATTCGCATAAAAATTCTGTATCTAAGAGTGGAATTGATGGTCTTTAAAGCAAGTTCCCTAAAAGTGCCAAACATGGTCAAAATAAAAATGTAAACGTTAGTAAATAAGGTGAGTACGAACCTTTTATGTCCTGAACGATAATTGAAGTATACTCGAGAAGATCAGCCAATAGGTTGCGTGGTTCTGGCAACGGCAAAGGCGAGCCGCTGTTCATCACTTTATCAGAGGAGGCTGAACCGACTGGGCTGGTTGACACGGTGGTGAGAATGTTGTTTGTGGAGGATAGAGCATCAGGAGTGAAATCGCCATCAAGCATTGAATGCGGTTCTAGTGTTAAAATAAAAATACGAACAATCATTAGAGAATGTTAGTCTAAAAGTAAATACGGGCTTCACGGTCCCTTCTTGGGTATAGATCTTGAACGCCCGGTGCCGATAGCAATCCTGAAATACCCCAAGTTAAGTAGGAAGCCGCCGTAATATAAGCTGTTTATTAAAATAAAACATTTAGAAATAAATCAAAGTCTTGCTCTTGCGATTGGAAAACGAGGCGAGTAGACTGTAATATGAATATCTTGGAGAAAAAGTTGGATGGTACAATAGTCAAGGTTAGGAAGAAAAATCGACTACGGTATTTTTCTTGTTATAAAATCAAATGACTGTAACTCTTTGAAATATCTCACTAAATAGTATGGACAACCCTCATTAGCTTTTTTAAGTTTAAGCACCAATCGTCACTGAAACAGCTCTTATCATATAACATCGACCGCTTTAAGCGGTTGATTTTAGAAGGGCTTGTCTGTAAAATGACAAAATTAATGAGATAAATTCGCAAACTAAACCATAAAGATAGTATAGTACAAAGTGGATTGGCGAGAAAATTATACTGTGAACAATACAACCTATTCAAAAATTTACTTCAAGATCGTTTAGACAGTAACGAAATTCCCGTTGTAAATGCTAACTGTGGGACAATTGAAATGGGAGTGGGAGCAAAAGAAGAAAGTGAGAGCAGCGAGAAATAATTTTCCTCAAAAAAGCTAGAGGATAAGATGGGAAAATGTATGGTGCCCGTAGGGGTGAAGATGAGGAAAAGTAGTATCTATTCTTTATGCTTTATGCTAATATCCCTGAATTCAGCCCACATAAGGTTCGTATAAAGCATTTTTCGCTTCAATACTCTTGTAATAGTCTGCTAGAATGAAAGTAATATTAGTATTCTTCAAGAAAACTATAAAAAATAGCACTTGTGTGTGAACGACTTTGGCTTAGATTGAGTTGCATAATTTTGAACAAAGCAGAAATATTTCAAGGCCCTAAATAATCAAAAATAATAGTTAGTATCCATTGACAGCCGGTATCCGCCAAATGGTTGAGGGAAATGTGTTCGGATAGTTTTTTTCTAGTATGCATATTCTTCTGCTCGAGTGGTCTGCCACTTTGTGCTGCTGCCTATGTAATCGTGGCTACAAGTACAATTAAGTGAAAGTATTTAGTTTTCTATCATGTAATTACAGGATCAGTTTTGCTGTGACTCATAAAATGGGATAGAAAAAAATTGCAATTCGGAATTTTTTCGTATATATAATTTAACTATGGAGGCCATGCTTTAAAATAGCTTTCCACAACCTTGACAACCAAAAGGAATCTGCTTATTCGCATAAGGGTGTGAAGTGCTATGAAAGGTGGTTACACTATAGAGGAGCTGAAGTCTGTATCCCCCGCCAAATCGGTCAGACGTCGGAAAGACTCACCCGAGCCAAGTCCACTGTTTGAAGCAGTGTCAAAAGCCCCAGTCTCCAAACAAGGCGTG